GAAGCATTTTGCTATGATTTCATCATTACATAATGGTGTATGTTCCACCATTTCTCTTGATTTTCTGTGAAATTCTTCATCTGAAGATGTTAATCTGGCATCTGGATCTGATTTGTGAATGGCATGAAGTATCGCAGGAATTCTTGATTGATGAGTGCATCTGCATTCATATTTAATGTTCCTTTTTTGTATTTGATCTCATAGTCAAATTCGGATAATTTTAGTCGCCATCGGTATAGAACTTGGTTCTTTAATATTATAGCCATTGTAAAGGTTTGTGATCTGACAAAATTGTGAATTTTCCTCCAAAAAGATAAGGTCGAAAATATTTTGTTGCCCATACGATTGCTAAAAGTTCTTTTTCAATCGTCGAATAATAACATTCAGCTGAGTTTAAGGTTCTAATTGCATACGCAATGGGAAGATCAGCTCCGACAGGACCTTGAGATAAAACAGCTCCAATTGTATAGTTCGAGGCGTTGGTTGTCAATAAACAAGGTTCTTAAAGCCAGGATGTTGTATTATGGGGTCATCTATTAATACATTTTTACAAGTTTCAAAGCTATCAAGGAATTCTGCATTGTATATTATTCTTTTGTCTTTTTTCAAACAAGATGTCATTGTTTTTGTCAATTTGGCAGAATACTTTATGAATTTTCGGTAATAACCTACTAATCCTAAAAATTATTTTATTTCTTTCTCCGTTCTTGGTATTGGGAATTTTTTATTTGCCGTTATTTTTTTTAGATACGGTTTTATTCCATTTGGCGTGATTACATGTCCTAAGTCTTGTGTAGCAATTCTGATATGTCTTATTCAATTTTTAAATTAAACTTCTCTAACTAAACTTTCCTCAAATTTTTCACATGTTCATGTTGTGAAGTAAAAAAAATTATTACCTATATCATCCATGTATACTAGACATATTTATTCTATTCTGTAATCCTAGTAATACATTATCCATCACTCTTTGGAAGGTTGCTGGAGCGTTCTTTAATCCAAAGGGCATTCTGTTAAATTCGTAATGACCATTTTCAACATAAAATGCATCATGGGTATCGAATTTTCATGCATCTCGACTTGATGAAAGCCAGAGGCTGAATCCAGTGTCGTAAAATAGTTACTACGACCAAGTCGGTCTAATATATCAGTGATATTACGTAATGGATATCTATCATCAATAGTTTTCTCGTTTATCTTTCGATAATCAACGACCAATCTCCATTTTTGTATGCCTGCGTCATCTTCTTCTCAGATGCTATTCACACAGGGGATGACCAGGGACTACAGGATGGACTGATTATGTTTTTCTTTATTTGAGAATTTACTTCTTGTTTATGCACATGTGGATATCTATACGTTTTCGTGTGCACTGGTATTTCATCTGTTGTTTTGATGTCATGTTTAACTTGATTAGTGAATGTCAATTTTTCATTTGGCTTGTAAAAAATTTTAGGAAAAGCTTCAAATTCCTCTGAGTTTAAATGAATAATACGTAGTGACTTTAAAGGGTCATTTGCATATTCATCATTTTGTGATGAAGTCAGTTCTATATTAAATATCTCAAACTGTTCATCAGCATAAGGTAAACTTATTTCCGCCAAGTTATTTATATTATAAGAGAGAATAATAGGCTTATTCATTGAGTTGTGTACTTCTAAAGCTACCATCTTGTTCATGACTGTTGTTATTGTCGAGGGAATATAATATGTTTCATTTTTTATTGGAGGTGGAAGAATTTCAACGCCATCAGCTATATTTATACTGAAATAACATACTTGAATCTCAAAATTCTGATTTTCGAAATCTGTTCTCAATTGAAACGGAATTGTTGTTTTATTATTAGAAAGAAGCATATTAGAAAAATATTTATTTAAATTATTTTCTTGCAATGCTTTGATTCCAATAATTCCATCAAAATAGTCATGGCAATTATACATTATCATTTCGATGTTGTTTTGAACAATATATTTTTGTAAAATTGGGACATTGATTTTTCCTTGGGTTTTTCTCGTACCCATACAAGTTGTTAAATTATTTCGTAAATTAATTATAGAATTTGAAAATTATTCTTCTGCGATTGAGGGTCTTATTAAAGAGGCATGACTTCCTGTGTCAATTATTAATTTACAAGGTGGATAGTCTATTTGAATAGAAAGTAGTAGTTGATTTAATGAGCATTTAAAGTTTATGCTGAGTCATTGCATCCAAGGCGGGTAACTAAAAATTTTCGTATTCACTTTCGACTTGAATTTCTTCAAAATTTGTCTCTTTATAATAATTTTGATTTTCGGAACATTCTTCATTTCCAAAAATATTATTAATCTATTCGATTGTATATCTTGAAGAGCCTTCCTATTAGAGGTGGAGAACTATCGATAGTCATGACCATTGATAGTTATCGATAGGCGTGACCTTGACTATCGATAAATATCGATAGTTTTCGATAGTGATTAAATACAAGTTATAAGGTAAAAGGAAAGATATCTATGTACTAAAAATCTTTGATTCTAGGAAATAGCTGAATATTGAACTTTAACATCAACACCTGCAGTGGAATTCTGTAAGGAATAGAGATATTTTCGCATGATTTTCGCTATCTCTATCGACGTACGTCCCCTCTACTGATTTCGAAGAGTAAGAAGAAGCCAGCAAGTGCCATAGCGATAGGGATAACGATCTCTATCCGTTACAGAATCCCGCCTCTGATATCTCATTTGCAGAAAAAATATTTTTTTCTAAAACTAAAAATATGTATCTTATTCTTAAATCCTAGAATTTTTGTATAAAATCATTAATATTCAACAATTCAACATTTTTGGCTTTCAGCACAAAGCGCTTTCAGACAAGATCATTTGTCAGAAATAATGGCACCCCGCACCAGCAGTAGGTACTGAAAATCCTTTCAGACCTTCCAGATTACTTTTTATAATTGTCAGAAAATTTTCCATTGTCCCAGAAAAATAAAGCAAGGAAATCAAAAAAGGTTTCCAAACCAGTTCAGTTTTGTGCACGAACCTAACTTTCGCTTACTAAGGGGCGTTACAGCCAACTATCGAAAACTATCGATAGTTAGAAAAAACTATCGATATATTTCGATAGTCAATACTATCGATAGTTATCGATAGCGCCATCGATAGTTCTCCACCTCTACTTCCTATGGGTCAGGTTTGAAATAATTATTGGGTCTGTACTGATATTGATTTGTGATTTTTGTGCTCGAGGTTGCACTGAAACTCCGGACATAGGTGGCGGTTTCGAAAATTGTTGATTCGTGTTTTTTCGAAAGGCATTATTGTAATTTTTGCCAGAAGTTCCTTAGTTAGTAGAAAATTTGGTTGGTACATAGTCCTTAGGTGTTATGTTAATAGGTTGGGATGTAAACTGTAGTACATAGGGTGTTTTTTGTGTATATTGAGGTTTTTGTTGAGTATATGTCTGTTGTGAACGGAATTGCGTATTTTTATTTTTGAAATTTGAAAAATTTCGAGTTTTGTTTTGATAAGTAGAATAATTAAGTCCTCTACTAAAAAGCTAGTTTGTAATTTAACACAAATTTATTAGCTGCATCCAGCATTTGTGGATTTTGAACCATTAAAATTGTTCTTAATTCGGTTGGCAAATTGGTGACATTTGCAACCACCGTTAAATTTGGGTCGTACATGATTTCAGATGCAATTCTTCGAACTACTTTATTAAGTTTATCCAAATACTCAATTACAGTTTCTTTATTAGTTTTGGTTGTATACATAAACTCTTGTACCAAATTCTGTCTAGAATATTGATTACCATATTTTATTCTCAACGCTTCTCTTATATCGGTCCATGTTCGTAAATGAGGACATGCCATAAGAAAATTTCCCACGTCATTTATTAATTTTGATTTATTGCGGTAATCACATATTCTTTCTGTACCCAGAACACCTTTACGAAGTCAAACTACCAGGACCAACACCAACCAGGATGACAAGGTCAAAAACAAAAACTTTAAAAATTCAAAACAATTGTTCATCCATAACGATAATTCTTTGTAATAATTATTATTATTGAGCATTCTCACCAGTGTAATAGATTTGATAAAATTCATTGAGGTTTCTTATGAAATATTTTAAATATTGGCCATCGCCACTGAGAGGTTTGATTAGTAACAAATAATTTTAAATTTTCACTCAGTGTTACCATAGAATAATATACGATGAATAGAAGCGTAAAGTTAACGGAGTTTTTTTTACCTATAGGCGGCGCTGCTCTCCGAATTTATTTCGAATTTATTTCGCCATAGAATAGTGTTACTGTTGGTCTTTGATTTTGGTTACTTCTTGAATTAGAATTATAATTGAAATAAATTGAGTTAAGAGATTCTTGATTTCTTTTTCAGAATCTGACATATATCTTTCTTTGAATCATAGAAAAGAAATTATTTTGAAAATTTAGAAATTTGAATTTTTTTTTTTTATTTTAAAATTATTAATTTAATCAATCAGTCTTATGGGTTGTGTTTTCTTTAAAATTATTTGTTGTGGGTTTGTAAATTCTTAGTAACTTTTTTTCTTATTTTTGATTTTAGCCTTTCAGCAAACCGTTTTGAAATCGCAAAAGAACAAAAATCCTAATTTAAGTTTTCGCAGTAAATCAAAAATTAGAAATTACAAAAGATCAGGAATCTAAAAATTACCAATTACAAAATGTTTAAAAAGAGAAAGGATGTACTTACTAGGCACGATGCTTATAACAGTAGCCTTTCTTCTCACGTTGTTTCTTGTTATTCCTTTTACTCAGTCATATCGACTTTCCCGAAACTTAAGCACTCTGAGTATCTGTATGACTGCGCCAGTTATATTTTCACTCAGAAACTTGTATTTTAAAAAACATTCGTTTATTAATTGAAATGCAGAGGTGACAAAGGAAAAATTGTGACAATTGGTTGATATAAGCATATTTGATTGATATTAAACAGACTTCAATTTAAGTTATTTATATAAATATGTTTTTTTTTTCAGAACGCAAAAGCAAGTTTCGATTTCAGCAGCAACGACCCTTATCCATACCCTCGCTACACAGACGACTGGTTTAACAGGTGAGTGCCTACCCTCTTTCAACAACGGCGTATTTTCTAAGCATTGAGCCTGAAGGAATAAAGAAAATTGCCCGTTTTTTTTATGCTTCATTAAATTCTTCCCCCACGTCGAGATATGCGAGTTTTTATTGCCGCTTTTTATTCCGATGCTTACTTACACAATTTATCATCGCTGGTAAATGTGTAGTTCTTTTGAATTCAAAACAAAGCAAATGTGTCAGAGTTTCACGAATATGTATGTTTACCTTACGTTTGCATATCATATAACGTTATTGTTTAACTCTGTGGTTGAGCCCTTTAATGAGCACACGTAGCAAAATATAAATTCAGTTTTAACAGCAACAATCAAACATTGTGTTTCACGTAATTAGGATTTTCTGAAGCTTGAAATTTGTTCGAAGCACTAAAAAAGTCTGTAGTTATTGTTTAAGAAAATTAATTTATACTTCAATGTGTTTTAAATGAGAGCCTTGAGGGGATCGGGCATTGGTATTGATAGATTCATCGTGCCATGTCGTAGCTTTGGTGAAAGTACCTAATTGACGAGCTCAAAGAAATTTTGCTTAAAAGCATGTTGTTTACAGACTACCTTTCAATAATTGTTTTCGGAACTATTTATTTCCAAATTTAATAGTTGTTACATTATAATGACACAGGCATAAAAACAGCTTTTCTAAAGTATGTTCTAACAACAAGTTTCATTTAAAAAAGTATCTACTATTTCGTATCGTAGGCGTAGCGTCATCTAGATATTATTCCTTCGAGTAGGTGTGAAAAAAATTTGAACAACAAATCATGTTTTTTTTTCCAAAAAATTGCTGTTTGTCTTCGACCATCAAATCTGCATTTATCATGCAAGAAGAGAATGTACCAAATATTTCCGTGAAAAATCAAATGATAAGCGATTATTTTAAATTCCAAGGGAAGAAACTTTGGTAGGGCTGAGACCGATTCTTTACCGATCTGAAAATTTGAATATTAAAAATTTCCGCAATTATGAAGGTACAGATTAAACATCCTCCATTTGTTTGGATTTTATCCCAATATTACTATTTTCAGGCAATTTTCATCAATTGAGTCTATTTTCAGTTCATGAAACATAATTTTTTTTGCATTATTTGCAAGTTTCTGCGGAGTCTTTATTGTTAACTTTGGAAATAATCTCAATGAAACTAATTTATATTCAGCTTGAAACGATTCAAAAATATAGACGAGATTTTGCTTATACTTTAGAGGATCGGAATAAATACATTTCTACAAACCCATTAAGTCGCAATTGTATTTACCCAAGAACATCCTTTATGCCTCAAGTATTTCTTTCCGAAGTTTTTTTCACTCTTTGTGCTTTGAGCTCGCGAGTAATAAAGTCAATGTCAAACTAAGTTGACTTTCGCAAGTATAGTCTCCTGCTCCTTCTTGTATATATTTATGGCAAAATGGAGTTTTTTTCATTAAAACACCTAGTCCTACAATAATATATCGAAACTGCTCAAAATATATATTTAGACATCCATTTCGTTCAGAACGTTATCTCTTATGCCAGCAAGTTTTCCTTCAATACAGGAAAATCGCTGCTCAATGCCGTTTCATTTTATAACTGGACAGGCTGGAAAATTCCAATTTCCAGACCGAAAATAGATTAAATTACAGCTTAGGACATGAATATCGGCGACAATATTTCACAGAATTTCAACTGAATGGTTCCCGGATTTTTTTCCAGACTCAGGAATAATTCGAATCTAGGTTGAAGACGAAGGATAATATTCCTAATCATCATAAAAACTGCGTACAATGTACAATGCAATTTTCGTATCCTGGGTCTTTGGAATGTTGTACAAGTGAGATGCGAGCACCGACTCTTATGGAACACCGGCTTCTAGTTCTCTAGTTCTTGAGCCAAGTTCTACCTATCAGGTAATTCTAAACCAGTCTTTGGTTGATAGCCGGCTTGAATCGTCTTGTGAATTAGTTGGCCATTCCAGACTCTATCGATAGCTTGCTCGACATCAAGCAAGAGGGCTTTGTTGCGCGTAAAATTACCCTTAAACTGTTTGAATAGTAAATTTAAATTAATAAACCACAATAGGCCTAGGTACTGTAAGACACTCTTAAGGAATGCGGCCAGCGCAACAAAGTGCTCGCGGCTACTCAGTGGTGTGGGAGTAGGTTCAATAATAAAAGTTAGCTTAATAGGGCGCCACTGATTTATAAAATACAATCCGCGGACTTAAATCAGAAAGTCCCTGATCTCCAAAATTCCTATAAAAATGTACCTACCCAATGTACCTATCCTTCAAAATAAAACAATTTTACCTTGGTTTGGTTGATGTCAGTAGGGATAAAATAAGAGTCAAATCTAAAAACAATGATTAAAAATCTATTTAATAAAATGGGGGGTATATGTTCAAAACTGCAAAGGCCAATATAAGGCAATATGTAAAATACCACAATATATATTATTATTAATAGTAAAAATCAAAATGTAGCAAGGACCAATGTGGCCTTATAAAAGACACTGTAATGAATTTAAGATTTACCAATAGATTAAATGTTTGACTACCTTAGTTCAATGAGAGTGTAAGAGAACAAATAGTTATTAAAGATGTTAATGATAATAATTAAAAACCTGTGCACGCTTATACCATGGTATACCGGGGCGGGTTTGTACAAAATGTCAACTTAAATATAGTACATTAAAAATCATCGGTACTATACACCCTTTGTAATAATTAAGGCAGTAAAACAACCTTGGAAGTATGCCAAGTAAATACAAGAAAATACCAATAATAATAATCAAAAATATTAATTGAGAAAAGTTAATAAATTTACGGGTACATCACCCCTTGTAATCCTCTCTGCTGTTTAGACACCCATTTACATAAATGCCTCCTGACAGCATCACAGTCCTGATAACAGACCCATAAGCTTCCATAGACTTCCCTCTTAAAAATGTGATTTCAGGTTTCAATTCAGTGCTGTAGGCACTCTTGACACCTCAGCCTCGAGACTAATAAACCGTCGAAGAGAAAATCCAATGGTAAAGATTTTAAAACAATCCTAAAAAACCCTGAAAGAGTACAAAAGTCTTAGAACTCCTTCATACTTATAAAAAAAAATGAAAAATCCCAACCCTCAAATGGTATATAAATGATGGGAATTAAATAGCAAAATCCCCTGAAACCTGTAGGTTATCTTAAACAAAAACCCCTTAATTAATAAGCCCATTAATGCCCCTCAAACGATTACTGAGTCTGCACATGGCCTCGTGGAGGTCAAATTGCCCTTTTTTTATAGAATCCTAAATATTTACAAAAATACTGATAAGCTAATCTAAATATTGATAACGGAAAGGTAAATTTGAGAATAGTAAAAACGTTTAAAATTACCTGGTTACAATTTGGGCTAGTTGAACAAATGTGCTCTAGTGCTTCACACGACAAACCAACAAAATGGCGTAGATTTCGTTTCCAGAAAATTCTGTGTGGTTGGCTTACAAACACGGGTACGACCAAATCCAAAGCTTTCACCCCAAAACCAATTAAGCCAGCAACCACTAAATCCCAGCGTCTTCAAAATCCCACAAAAAGGTGGATGTTCCCAAGGAACGTCGCCAAGAGGACCGCTGGTAAAATCTGCCAAGAACTTGTTGTTTGCTCAACGTGCGAATTTAAAAGAGAACGATCCCTTTTCAGCGATTTATTAGGTAGGCTTCAATATGAAATTTTTTCTAGAATTCCAGTTTTTTCCTTAAGATGTCCTCTGGTGCCAGATTTCCGATCTCCACCGGGAAGACGGAACACCCAGTTTGAATCGGAACACAATCAGCTTCAAACAGAACACTCCGAACCACAATGATGACCCACAAAACTCCAAGTTGTTATCAAATTCTCTTCCCTAACATCAATTAACACTAATTAATCACTTATACAAGTTATTAATCAGCATCTACCTAGTCTTCAGTCTAAAAACCATCAAAATGACCAGTGAAAGTACGCCGGCAACGGTGCTGCCCAACACGAATCAACAAGTGGCATATAACCCCACAATATTTTTGGAGGAAAACAAACTTTTGAAAATGGGAAAAGTAAAGGAAATAAGGGTGGAAAATTGATTTAGAGTGTGCTAAAGTGATTTGTGTTGTTGCAGAAATTTTAATAAAGGGAAATACGAGATCCGTAAGTGTTGACAATTGATATTTATTTGAAAGTAAACAAACCTTTTCACACATTTAGGGCCTTTTAGAAAACTTTCGAAAGCTAAATAAAGTGAATTCATATCCTACCAGTAGGGCTTTATTATCCTGAACCTACCCTGTCCTCTAAATACAAAGAATTCACTCATTATTACCTTGAAAAATATACCTTTAATCAACAACCAGATATTGTTTTGCATCCAACCAAAAGGCAAAAATCTAGCAAAATTCAATGAGCAACCTATCAATCACTGAAAAATATTAAACCTCAGGTATACAGCTTTATAAATATTCTCACAAATAACTGAATTAATTACTGAATTTATTCGAAATTCTCAATTACGTTAAGGCAAAATTTTAACGTAACATTTTCAGTTGTTTCCTGCCAATAAAATCCATTGGTGGCGTGTTTGACTAGCCCAAATTATTTTCCTGTATGATGTCAGAGGGGATAGTTCTTTCTGATACGTTGCATAAGACGAATGGAATGATAGTTTTGTAGACACTTTAATTTCTTTTTTGCTTGCAACACTACGTAAAATGGTCTAACCTCAAGATGGAGTTAGTAATGTTGGTGAGAGCTTTCAGTGCTTTCCTTGGCATCTGTTTGAGCCTGAGTCTGATCCAGTGGTATTCTTGACATGTATTTTCTTTTATCACCTGGATTTTCTGAAGGGTGGCGTACTTTCTGATATCTACGTGGATCCATGTCCTGGTTACGTAGTCTTCTAGATGATCAGTCAACTCAGTCTTTGTCTGAGTGGGGGTTTCTGTCGTTTCATCATTCATGTATCCTGTCCTTTTGAGT